CAGAACTGGGAGTGAGTGTGTTGGAGGACAAACTCATTTCCTGTGGCCCCTCTTTGAAGGAAGCCCAATAATTTCAGGGTTGTCAGAACTTGCTTTTAAAAACTTCTGTGGTCTGAATACCTGTAAATCTAAAAACACCAGACTCTCCCTCCTTGCTTAAACAGCTGGACCTCCCCCTCCTCCCCCAGCAGTTTCTGTCATGACACTGAGGAAGGAATAACAACAACAAAAAGGGATGATGGCAAATTGTTTCTTATCAGAGGAAGTCTACTTCATAACTGACTCACTGGAATAATTATCTGTCAAATTGTCTCTGTGTGTAGGAAGAGTATGCGTTTCCTTTCCTCAGCCTGAATTCATTATAGTTCTTACCAAACTGGACTTTCCTTCAAGAGGATTTCTTTGCTATTTAGTGGGTTCTTGGTGTTTAGGAAGGGAACTAATACTTGGAGGGAGCTTTAAAATCCCATTACCCTGAGATTTTTATTTTAGTAAGCAAGGCTTACCATAACTTGCAAGAACAGTGTGACCACTCTGGATTAGGCCACTGGTTATTTTCCTCATGATTTTGATGGAGTCCAACTGCAAATAAATAAATAAAGGGCAAAATCTCCAAAATGCAGCTAGGCAGTTTGATCAAACTGTGACACAAGAGAGAACATTTTTCTTCTAATCCATGTGAGCTGTCCATATACCCAGTAAATAATGAGGTATGTGTCTACCAGTTTTCTAAAGCTATTTTGGGAGCTGTATGAATAAACAGGAAGGAAAAATTAAAGCTGAGATTTTTTTGCCCTCTCCCATTCTTGAAGAGAGTATTTTCAAAGTTTTTTCTTAAAAAATGAAGTTTTAAACAATACTCACTCTACTCTTTGTTGTTAATGTAGCCAGGAGCACTGATTATAGCCATCAAGTCATTAATATTGCAGAAAACCCACAAATGATGTGCAGAGAGCCTTCACATGAGAGGTGTCCATGTTCATTAAAAATATTACCTTTCTTTCTCTCTAACATTTTGGCTTGAAGATTTGTCTCCATCCTACATCAAACAACAGGGTAGAAAACAGGACCCTAACATTATCCAGCTCACTTCCACCTTTTTATCTGATTCTTCTTTAAAGAGCTCTTGGATGGGTGATCTGTTGTTTGTCATTCATCACTTGTAGCTTGCTTTTTTATTTTCTTCTAAGATAAGTCATCAAAGAGGAGTGGGGGTTAAAATGCAATTTGGAATAGCATCACAGATTGCAAGGCCAATGTTGCCTGACTTCCCACATGATTCAAGCAAGTGCTCCAAGCCTGTATTTCTCATTGCCCTGTGGTAGTAAATTACAGTAGCTGGTGATAGCAATCAGAGGTGAGGAGAATAGTCTTTCTTTCTATTGCTTTGCAGGGTAGAATCCAGAAACATTTCTCTTTGCCAAAGAAGAGCTCTCCACCAGACACTGTGTGTGTGTTTAAGTAAAAAGAAGGAGATTTACCTTCTGAAGCTCATGTGAAATCATTGAAACTTGACATCATTCCAAGACATTGCATGAAAGGGGGTTACACTCCTTGAAGCCTTAAGCCAGGGCAGGAATGTGACTGACCAATCAGCTCCAGCATGTCAGGAACCTCAGAGCCATGGAAATTGCTAAGAGTGGAGAAACACTTGCTTCTTTATTTATCAGCCATTGAATTTGTGCAGAGCCTGTTGAACAGACTTCCTCACAGCAGACCTGGCTAGGATGGACTTGTGCCAGGGAGCCAGTGGTAGCAGATGAAACCACCTCTAAGAAAACAGAGTTCTAAGTTGAAATAAATCATATATAAAAGGTGTCTGAAGACAATCCTCAGGTGCTAATCTGATTTCTACAGTGTGGAACTGATGTGACTGGGTGTTGTCTGCTCACATGGTGAAGAAATCACGTAACAAATGTTCCCTCATTTCCTCCAAGGATTAATTCTTCTAGGTGCAAACATGGGGGGCTTTACACCTAAACCAAATGTGAACTTGGAGGTCTGCCTTTACAGGTCAGTCACTTGACTCAGGAATTTCCTTAAAGGTGCAGTGGGACTGGGAGGCACAAGCTGAACCTTATGTTGACAGTGCTCAAAGGATGTGCTGTAGCCACTAGCTTTGCATCAAAGGAAGGGAAACTGTTTAGGATAGAGGTAAGAAAGAAAACCTGCATGCAGCAGAAACTCTGGGGAGGTCGTTAGCAAGACAGGGTGTAACTGTCTGAGCTGGTGTCAGAGCAGGACACAGGTCTTATTGTTAGAACATATGTGGAAAATGCAATGGAATACGAAGATGCACATCTATATCACTTATATCTATAGCTATACCTATATCTGTATCTATCTATATCTATAAATCTATGTCTATTATCTACATCCATCTGTATCTAATCTATTTTTATCTCTATCATCTATCTGCATCTATATCATCTGTGTCTGTATCTCTATCCCCATGCTTCTGTGTGTACTTACCACCTCAGCATGAACGATCTATGAAGAAACAGAAGGGGGACTGAATGAAGGGAAAAACATCAAAAATCGGTTCTAATTATTTTCTAATTTTATTTCCCTTTGCTAGCTGCAGTTCTCAGAAGGAATGTTTGCAAGCCAGCTTGTAAACATGCCAGTTTAAAGTGTATGCAAACACAGCATGCCCTTTGCACGTCCTCAGAACAGCTGAGTGCACAGGTGAAAGCCTGTGTCTCACAGATGTATCTCAGTGCTTTCTGCTCTTCTCTGTTTCAAATCCTGTCCCACTGTGATTCAGAGAACATTTATAGAAGTCTCCTCAGCATCTTGTTTGTGGTGGCATCCTGGGAAAGCAGCACTGTCGTTTCCTTCTGCTGGAGGGGAAAAGAGGAGGTTATCATTTAACACACACAAAGTAATGGGTAGGTCAGGTCTTCTCCCAGTGTTTCCCTGGCAGCCAGGTTGCAGCAGTGAGGACCTGACCAGAAGCAGCCTGGTAGTGTTAAAGCCAGTAAAGCAGGGCTGGGTTACACCAGCTGGGGATCCGAGCACTGTCTATACCCTTAAAAATAACCCAAACAAACAACACAGACTCTGCTTGTGCCCTGGTGTGCTTTTTCAGATGGTTCATAAATTTATTTGACTGGATGCCCAACATGGACCACCTGCTATGTTGATAGAACAAAGAAATGAGCTTGAAGGGTTGCTAAAAAACCTGAAGGAGGAGAGGGAGAAAAGCCCAGTGTCTGACTGACATCCTTGGTAAGGGGCAACCTTGCTGCATAAACATAGGAAGCAGCCATTCTTTCTAACTTCTCATTTTCATAAAGGTCATGTCACCAGCTGGCCTCCCAAGCCTGCTTTCCCCCTGACAAAAGAAAGACATGCTCCTTGTCAGTGTCAGAGGAGCTGGAGGTAGAAATGAGTTTGGTTCTCCAGCCAGACCCTCCATTGTTTGGGACATATTTTATTATTTGAATTCAAAGTCTGGAATAAGCTCAGACTTTTTGTATTACTCATAAGGGTTACTATTAGTAATCCTATTACCCATGTGAGTTTCTATGTGAAATGCATGTTCCTAATCTTAAGTTTTCTCTGAGACAGTCATTCCCTCAGAGGTGGACAGCAACCAAGGCCTTCCCTCTGGTCCATACTGCCTACTATTCATGGCCAGGTTTCCAGACCATGACTAAGTAACATACTGAAAATTATATCTTGACATGCACCTTGGAGAATATAACACGTGTAGGAATAATTTCACTAGGTTTTGGTTTTTCTCCCTGAATAAAATGCAGTTGTTAAGCAAACCACAAATTCTGCCAGCCCAGAGGCCTCAGCACAACACATGAATGCGAATTTATCAGTGTTCTGGTGAATTAGATGAAAAAGCCTCCTGCATAAGCAGGGGGAAGACCTGCATGGATCTCACACCAGAGCAGGTAAATGAGAAGAGCTACAGAGTGCCTGCTGAATATTTTTAAATTTTCTGCAAACTTTATCTTCACAGAGTGTGTTAGGAGTTTCAGAGAAGAGGGCGGAGGTGCACGTGCTGTAAGTAAAGGCCAGAGATACCTCATTAGGACCTACAGTCCCAGTGCTTCAGAAAACTTTGAGCATTCTCTGGTCACAGAAAGGAGATAGAATGATTTTAAGGGCTGTGAATTGCTTGTGCTTTTATATCAGAGCTGTTACTGGAAGTCTCTTTGTGTAGCTAATGATAGCAAGCAGTTTGTCTGTTTTTATGGCAGAATATATTTTGGTCCAATTGTGCTCCTTTTTTTTGTGCCTTGTAATAAGCTTCTCTCAATTCTCTCTGCTTCTAGAGTGCATAAATCATTTTATTTATCAGTAATATGTGCTGGAGTTGAACATAATTTCTTTATTTTTCACTATTCTTAGTCATGCTGGAGTTATAGTTTGCCTGGTCTGCATCTTGACTTCCAAGCCTCACTCCTTGTAAATGGAAAGAAACCTTAAATACAGTTTAGATATGAATGTTCTCCTTTGCTCTTCCTCACCCCTTTTTCCCTCATGCCAAAGCATCTTTGGAGCTTACTGTTGGTTTATGTCTGTGATATTTGGTTGCACTTAAGATTTTGGGGGTTTATTACTTTCTGGAGAAGACGTGTCTTACGTCTTCTCCAGAAAGTAATAAAATGAACCTTTCTCTACAGCACCATTACATGTTGGAGAGTGCTCCTCCATGGATGCTTATTTGGAAAAGCCAGTCCTAGCCTGGCTGGATCATTGTGGGAATGGGAGAAAAGTTTAATGCCATTGCAGTTGTTTTCTACCTGCCAAGATTCCTCTCAAATGCTCTTGTAACTTTCACCAGCTCTGGTGGTATCAGGCCAGGCACTGGCAAGACTGAAATTTTAGCAGTTTTATGTTGTTGTGCCATGCACAAGATTTTGGTGTGTCTCTGTACCATCCATTAGCATTTTCCCTCTGATCCTGCCCCTTTTTTCCACCGTATTTTCCTCTTGTGGGGTATTGGTCTTTCATGTTGCATTCCTGTGTCTCAGCAGGATCATTGCTGGCTGGTCCCAGTGCAGAAGTTGTAGCTGACCTGTAGCAGGTGACAGCTGAAGAAGTGGACTGATGGCAACCTCAGAAAGCTGAAAAAAGGGAAATGCAAACCCCTGTGCTGTGGGTGGGACAGGAAGGATGTAGAGAAGGATGCGTGGGCAAGGAGTACCAGCAGCTGGGCTCTCCTGGGAGGCTCAAGGTGAGAGGGTCTGGGCACACAGCTTGGAAGGGGGATGCTGCTTTGAGGCAAAAAATGCACATTTGGTCCTTTGGATGGTGGACTGAACCAGGAACCAGGTTGCCCAGAGAGGCCATGGAATTTTCATCCTGGATTGTTCGCTCCTGCTAGCCCTGGCTGTGTGTGGGGTGGGCTGGAGCCTGCCTGAGGTCCAGGCTGACCCACTCCACTGCTGCCTGAGGTACAGACAGAGCTCACCATGGCACCACTGCTTATTTCCACTATTTTCCTCCTCTGAGAGTTTTTCTTCCCCAGAATTTATCTCTTGAAATAATATTTTCAAGAGATATAATATTTTCCACTCACAAGCCTTTAACTTGGTGATGCTTTCCTCGAGTATGAAAGCAGTGGGAGAATTGTATTTTTAAAGGAATCCCCTCTTGAGTTACGGATGACATGCTTGCGCCCTTGTGAAATGTGTTTGCTCAGAGTCCCTTTCTTTGCTGCTGCCAGCCTTGTGGTGATCCTGTGCCCATGTGGCTTTTCCTGGTGGCTTCCCCGAGGCTCCCTTGGGCACACACAGCGCTGGCTGCCACGAAGTTCACCACGGGACTGAAATGAGAATAATTTTGCAGCCTGGGAGATGGATTCCTGCCTGTCAGAAAGGCCATTCCAGCGTCCAGGGTGCATCCTCCGTGTTAATCGACAGGTGAGGAAATGTAAAGGTTTCTTCACACCCTCCTTGCTGTGGGTTTCTTTCAACTAAGCCATTTTATTTCTGTTTCTGAGGGACAGAGGGAAGATGCTGTTTCTTCTGTTTCAAGGCCTTAGGGTTAGAACTTCATCTTTGGCTGTCTTTAGGTTGCTACATCAAAGTAGGCAGTAAGAAATTAAAACCACCCGGATAACATAATAAAAAAGAACAAGCCATTTAGGAAAAAAAAAAAAAATCAATATTTTGTCTTTTAGGTCCCCAGTGAGAAATACTTCTGCAGAGAAGACAGAGGGGAAAACATGAACAATGGGCTTCTCCTGCCCTAATTGCAAGTACAGCAGGCATGTCAAGTGTGAATTTGAGAGACAGAGGTAAGGACTTTGTAAACAGGAACAGAGCTGCTGAAACAGAAGGACAATAGCTAAGGACCAACCTGTAGCTAAATCTACCTCCAAGAAACCTTATCTGAGGAAATAAGTATAATTCTAGATCAATGTATCTTTGTTTTATCTCCTGCTGAATGCCCTTGCTGCCTTTTATATAAAGCTTGATTGTATAAATGGGTGTCATGTTTTGTAAATACTTCCAGGTGTGGGAAAAACAGGTGGGGGAATGGCTGATGTCTGGATGTCACTTGGATGGCATAAAAAAAAGCAGCTGCCGGTTTTCTGAGCTGCTGCAACTGGACCTGACCAGAGCAAGGGTCTTTGGGGCCATGAAAAGGTGTTAAAATCTCATTGGGCTTGCCTGTCCACAGAGGATTTAGTCTCCAGAGGCAGAGCAACAGTCACGTTTTCAAACACTGTGTTTTTGGGTTTAGGGGCACCTTTCCTACCCATTTAGTGAATATAGCCACTCTCCTTTATTGACATTATGGAGTGAAAAGTGACTGCTCCACCAGCCAAAATAAATTAAACCTGCCTTGTTAGGATTGCCGCCTCTGAGCATTAAAAGTGCGAAACACACTCTGGGCAGCAAGTCATTAAATATACAGGGAAAAGGTGCAGAGGTTAAAGAATACTCAGATAAGTTAGATATATGCAAGTCAGCAGGGCCTCATGAAATTCACCCTGGAGTACTGCAGGTAGTGGCTGAGGTGATCTCTGAGCTATTAGCAATTATCTCTGAGAGGATGAGTGAGGTCCCGGCGGACAGGAGAAAGGCAAACACAGAACCTGTCTTTGAAAAGGGGAAATGGGAAGACCCAGGGAATCACAGGCCAGTCAGCCCTGGCTTTGATACTGAGAAAAATGCAGGAGCAAATTATTGAACAATCAATTTGTAAACACCTAGAGGAAAATAAGGTGATAAGAAACAGCCTGCTCGGGTTTGTCAAGAACAAATCACATCAAAGCAATCTCATTTCCTTCTTTGACAGAGTAACTGGCCCAGTGGATAAGGAGGAAGAAGCAGATGTGATAGATCTTGACTTTAGCGAGGCTTTTGACACACATCCACATGACATTTTCATAAGTAAACAGGAGAAATATGGTTTAGATGAAGTTATTATGTGATGGGTGCAAAACTGAAAAATTTGGCTTATCAGTAAAGCAGTTATCAATGGTTTGTTGTCAGACTGGGAAAACATATCAAATAAGATACCACAGAGGACTGTCTTAGGTCCAGTATTATTCAATGTTTTCAGCTTTGATGATGGAATATGTAGAAAACTTAAAAAAATTGCATATGATACTGAATGAGGAGGGGTTACAAACAGAACAGGATTTGAATACGAAATGGGCTTGATAAATTGAAGAAAGTGTCTGAAATCAATAGGATGAAATTCAATAAAGGAAGACAAGTGCAATGTATTACTTTTGGGGAAGGAAAAATCAAATGCACAAGTATTAAATGGGAAACAACTAGTTTGAGAGCGGTTTTCATAAAAGAGGCTTAGCACAGAGCACAAGCAAAATGAAATCCAGCAATGTGAAGATGTGTGAAGAGTAAATTCCACGATTGTATGAATTAATAGCAATATCGTGAATAACTTGGAAATAATTATCTAGTTCTGCTCTGAGTGGTGAAGTCTGACCCAGGAATATTACATCTGTGTCCAACAGTAATGGCACATTTTGAAAATCATTCTCCTTTAGATGGAGAAAGAACAAAGCCTAGAAAACAATTTTTGTGAGGAAAAGCTGAATTAACTGAGTATGGGCTTTTTTCTAAGGAAAAAGTGTAATGCATCTACAGTATGCAAAATATTATTAAAAATCTTGTAAAGAAAAGGGAACTTGCCTGCTTTCTCTGTTTAAAATGATGTAAAAAAGAAAAAGAAAGATAAAAGGATGGAATAAGCTCAAGCAGATAGAGAGATGTTCTGGCTATGGGAATGATACTGCACTGGAACAGGGTTTCTGAGGATATTCTGGAATCCTTGTTTCAAGTCCTGAAAATGGGTCAGACAGACATCTGTCTGTGATGTGAAACAGATGTCCTCTGGAGGGTACTCCTACTTTTACATTTCTACAGTAATTCATACTCCTCAGTCAAGAGAAAAGCTCACATGAACAAGATAAGCAAGAATTAAATGCATGGATATAAATTTCCTCCCAGACTCCCCTTTGCACTTTTCCACTGCAAAACTTCTTTTTTTGGATTTATGTACACTTATCACACAGTCCCCTGTTCTCCTTTTTACCTGTCTTTGCTTTGAAACAGAGGGAAGAGTTGCTAGTGATTCCATAATTAAATGAAAGATTATGAAGCTAGGCAGGGCTGTCTTCTATTCAAACATGAAATCATGCACGTTCATTCTCCTGGGCTGGCTGCTGGTACAAAATCAAGACCAAGAGACTTAAAAAACCCTCAAAACACCAAACATTTTTGATATTATCTGCTGAAAGGTGCTCTAAAAAATGCTTTGCTCTTTTCCTCTTTTTAATTTTGATGAAGATACACAGTCAGAGAATGAAGCTTTATGAACATGCATTCTCCCTTTTAATGATAGACATGAGACAAACTGGATAGTACTTTTATGATGTTTTATTGGCATGATTTTGAATAGACAGAATGCTGCAAACCCTCTGCATCTTTTTCCTGTGCGAGCCACGTGCATCCCGAAACATAGCCTTGAAATACTTAGTGAGAAGTAGGATCTTCATTTAGGGCTGTAAGGCCAGAAATCTTAGTCATCAAGTGTTGTTTTGTGTGAAGACTATGAGAAGAAAAAGCTACTTTTAAATGACTGATCTAAACTAACATGTTTAACTGCAGGATTTGCACTCTGCATTGTGGGGGATGCCACACTCAAGGAGCAGAATGTCTCTTCTCCTCCATGTGCTTGGCTTTGTGATGATACCTGCACAAAATAAATTTGTGAAACCCTTCTTAAAAGGCTACAAGGCTGTGCTCACCAGTGAAGAAGTGCTTGCCTGGCTGTGAAATTTGGATTTCCTTTGTATTTCTATGAAACCTTTCCAGTTGCAGGAACCAGGGATGTTGTAGTTTTTGTAGATGTTGGTGAGATGAATGTACTTGCTCCCAAATTTGGGACCAAATGTGGAGGTTTAGGAGCAGAAATGTATGTATTTGTGAAAGGAATATTTATTTTCCCTTGGGAGGGGTTTGTCCAGGCTGTGTAGGGAGTGTTCCCGAGCATCCAGAGGGAGCCAGGGCAGCTGGACCCAGGCTCATGAAGGATGCTAAGGGTGCATCCATGTGATGCTGTGCTTCATGCTTGTAGGCATCCATGCCAAGGTTAACAGTGTTACCAACCTTCCTTTTCTCTGTTTTGTTCTGGCTCACATTTTTAACCTCCATGCTTTAGTTGTACCTGTTTTTAAAGTCTCATATTACCATTTGCAACTGAGTGTTTGTCAAAAACTGAGCCCCCCAGGATCTACTAAAGTGCCAGCAGTATTTTATACACTACTAAAGTCCTGCTAAAAGACTATTTTGAGACTTCACTGATTCTGTAAAGAAAAATAAACTCATAGTTAGTGACCCTTGTAGTATGGTTGAACTGATAGGAAGATGCACCACTACTTACATTTATGGTGAGGGCTACAGCACATAACTTTTAAGAGGGAATTTTGTAGCAGAAGGTTTTGGGAGGTCACTGGTAATACTGTCATTATCTTGCCTGTGAGAAGATAGAACCATATTTAGAGCCACTTTTACCCCTGTTTTCTGTAATACAATAGTTTTTGAGCTTTCATTAGCTACCACAAATGAAAGATTTGTGGTAGTATGGAACGAAGTGGGTTCTTCTTACCACTTGCAAAAGGTCTTATTAAACATAAAGTAAAATAAAGCTTCCTGGATCTAAATATAGACAGGACTAAATTGGCAGATCTCAGTAAACATGATTGCTTAGTAATGGAGATAATGCTGAGTGAGCTTTATAGAAGGGTAAAAAAACCTAAATAAAAATATTTTTGTCTGAAATGCTGCCAAAAGTCAATGCCTCTTTTCCCCTCTATGAAACAACATTGTCCTTGTTTTCCATCTCAACCAGCTTGAGACATCTCACTGAAAGACATTTTTCCCAGTCTGAAACATATCCACAGCCTGTTCCACACTAAAATTATCAACCATACAAGTTGTATAATGACAGTCAGGAAAAAAAAAACCAGTCTAGGACTGGATCAATTCCTGACCATATTTCTGTTTTGTTTTTTGTTTGCATTTTTTTTTTAAGAATTAATGCTCTATTCACAGAATAACTCATCTAGGGAGGAGTAACCTCTAGGTAATCAGTTGGTCAGGCAGCATAGACGACACCCATCGTAGACATTGTGCATCTTTAATTGTAGGGGTGATGCTGGTTAAGAGGAAAGATCTGTTCTTATCTTCAGGAGGGTTTAAGCCCATTTTTGAAGTCTCTAAAAGGTTGAGCTTCAGGCTGAGCTCTGTGTTGTGCCAGAGGGAAGCACTTTGGAGGGGCTGGGTGAGCACAGCCACCCTTCAGCTGGGACTCAGTGTGGCTGTGCCCATTTCCAGTGACTCTCTGATCTCAGTTCTTAATCCCTGCGTGGAGAGATGGTGTCTTCTGCAGATTCTGGCTGTGCCAAATTACTGCAACACAAAAAACAAGAGAGGACACGCATGCAGATGTTGCAAGGTCATGCATGGGAAAAAGACAACACCAATAAGTAGAAACTCAAATTGTTGCTTGCTTACCAGCATTACTTAATTCAATTACATCCACTGAATTATCTGTAACAGCAGACTTTGTGGAGAGGTATGGCCCACCTGTGATACATATATAAATATATACATGTATATATTTATACACTATCATGGTGATAAATTTTAATGAGAGCTTCATCACAACCAGCTGGTGTTGTTTGAAACAAATTACATTAATAATGCGTCTGAATTTTCAGCACAGGACCAAATAATGAGAGTTGTAAAGCTGCAACATAATGTGGAGTCAACAGCTTAGTGGGCTGGCACTCCCACCTTAGGCAAGGCTCTGAATCTGCCTTCCTCTGTGGGATGAGGTTTAACCCTCCTTCCTCCACACCCCGCTGGGGTGTCACCGTGGTGCAGCCTCCTGGCACCGAGGAGAAATGCTGAGATCTCTGATGAGTGAGGCCTGTATTAACACTTGAGGTAGCACGTCTATTTTGGGGCCAGCAGCTCCCTGCTATGTGATGCTTCTGCTCGCTGCCTCCCTGCTTTGGAGCGCTCTGGGTCCTGCTCGCGCTGTGTGGGAGAGCTGGTGGAGCTCACAGCGCTCCTCTCCTCCTCCCGCTGCCCTGCAGTGGTGGAGGGGCAAAGGCAGGATGTGTTTCCAGTGTGCTGCCTCAGTCAGGATCCTAGAGGTCCACCGAGGCACTTGGACAAGGATCTGCACCATGCTGGCAGTGCTGTTCCTGTGGTGGAAAGCATCATGTCACGTTCCTGGTGATGTGGAGCAGAGGGACCTTAATGTGGGACTGGAATGCAACAGCACCGCTGTGCTGCACACTTCCCACTCAATGTGGAGCAAAACTCCACCACTCTTCTTGTTAAATATTCTCAGTACATGTGTTTAAGGTGTGCTAGAATGTCTTCCTTGCTTCTCTATGACTTCTGGCTGAAGATCAGCATGAACTCTTCAGTGCTCCCTTTCTCTTTCTTTGAGGGTAGGCAGCTCTCCTTACCAGCCCCACTTTCTGCCTGGCTACCCAATCCCATCAGGAATGATAAAAGGCAAATGTGTGTCTCAGTGTGTGCACAGACACAGAGATGCCCACGCCTGGGACTCTTGGTAAATACTTTAAGTGTAGAGTTTCTCTATCAATATTCTATTCTCCATAACCTATCTCTTTTACTCAGTCACTCTTGTGTGTCTTGACACTTAACTCTGTGAATGTTTTCTTTACTTTCTAGTTCATCATAAATTAAAGGACTTCTTGATTTTCCACAATGCCTTCCTTTTTTCTCCCTCTTCTTTTCTTTTTTTATTTTTTTTTCTGAGACTAATCTTCAGTTAATACTGAATTGTGAGCATATAAATAAAAAATGTCTGTTTTGTGTCTTTCTTGCAATAAATCTGATCATTCCTCATACTGCTGCTCAGGATATCTCCCCTAAGGTATGCTGAATTTGATCAAATCACTACATCACCGGAATGTTGAGTGTTACTCATTTGTGTGCTAATTACTCTTAATCTGGGCCCCTTTAAAAAGGTCGTCAATTAGACTTTATTGAATTGTCAGCCTTGGTAGCAGCGAAGGGAATCTGGTAGCTGGTGTAATGATGTCACAGATGGCTAAATACTCTGAAGTCTGAAGGGAAAAATGAATTAAATATAAGTTCAAGTTGCACAATGTGGTGTGAAAATGTGGGAGCCAGGCTTTTTGTGGAGGAAACTACTGTTCACAGCTGATTGAAGCTGACTCTAAAGACCTCTTTTATGGCACCCTCTGGAAAGAGCTATGAATAAATGACCCTTTCTCATCTTATTCCCAAGGTTCACCTTGAAATAGGTCTCTTCTACGTGGAGCAGATCTTCTGCCTTTTTAAGAACATCTCAAGGCCACCTTGCTGCTGTTTGTTTTCCTTTTCTGGAGGTTGGGACAAGAAGATGAAAACTTGTAGCTTGAATTGCTCAATACCCACCAGTTCTAAACTTTAACCTTACCTCAGCCAGGAATTTTTGAAGGTGTTTTGAGGACCTGGAATAAATGAATCCATATTTTATAAGCCAGTCTTTTAATGGATTTGCTGTGTGTTACTCCTGTCAGTGTGTCTCCAGAAAGAATAGGAGAGCAAATTTTTGTGTTTCCACTGATTATTTTTTTTGGTAAGCAATTTGGTCTGAGGAAAATTTTGAATGAAGAGCATTGCAACCAGAAGATAAATGGCAATCAATACTCGTTTCAACATAATGTATGCCTGAAATTATACTTACCTATGCACAAACACAATAATGGTCAAAATTCTGACATAAATAAAGATACTTTACACTTCTGATAGTGTGTTTCTTTTGTTATTTGACCTCATTTATTATTGGATATGTAATTTCCACTGCACATTTACCTCACATGCTTATTAGTCTTGCCCAGTCAAGTAACAGAAATTCATACCCCTTTTATTTGTGATATTGCACATTTGGAGAGTGTTGAGAAAAGCCATAGAAAGGAGATGTGCTCATTATCCTGATCAGAAAACAGGGCAAAATGACCAGTCGATTATGTGTGTACCTTACAGATCTCATTAATGGGTGCAATTTAGTTAGTCCTGAGGTAAAGATTTTTCAGGTCTTTTTGAGTGAATGGGAAGAGAGGGCAAATCTAGCTTTAAAAGGTTACCACCTTCTATAAAGTGTACTTGAAACTTTGGGAACTGAGAAATTCGAATGAAGGGCGGGGATGGTTACTGTGCTTTTTTTTTTTGGTTATTTTTCCTCCTCATTCAAATAAAGTCTGTCTGGGAATGGAGAGAAAGAGCCAGAAGCTATCTTCAGGAGGGACAGAAAGTTTCCAAACAAGGCAACTGAGTTAGCAGGGAACAACACACTGTGCTTGTAAAAACTTTCAGTGTTAGCAGGGAAGAAGGAGCAGCAGTGGTGTTGGTTCAGATGAAACTTCAGGGTTCTCTCCTGTGCACACATTTGGCTGGCTCTGCTGTGGATCATAACCTCCTCCTCAAAGGATCCAGGATTACATTCCTGCTACAGGAGTCCCTGGTTTCTGCTGAATTCACTAAATAACACCCATATGCAAATGGTGCATATGCCCCAGTGGAGATTTTTGTTAACAATTGTGTGGGATAGTGGAGGTTGGTGTGTGGGGATGGCTGGAATATCTCAGTGTGGGAAGCACTGGGGAGTCCTGACTCTTTTTTTCACATTGATTACTGTGAGATATGGAATTTCCTGTTTTCTTTTAACTTCTGGATGGATTCTGATTCCTTTCACTTCATTCCTGAGCTGAATGGTACCTTGTTCCACAAGTAGTCTTGGTGGTTCAAAGGGATCATTCATTGGTGGGACAGTACCATTCAACACAACTAAAAACCTTGGAATCTAGTCCTTAAATCGAATTTGCTAGCTGAAACTTTATGTGTGTGTTTGTGTGTGCGTGTCTGTTTTTCAGCTGTTTTTTTACAAGGGACTGTAGTTTGCCCTTTTAGCCTTCACTAAAACCTTTCATTTCCTGTGCTACTGTTAGGTCACAAAGCTTCATAATGTTCTTGGTTGTTGTTGTTTGTTTCATGCACTGAATTAGAAATTAATTCTCTCTCAGCTTCTCTTCCATGTGCTTCTAAAATTGTGTTCTCCATTTAATGTATTCCATGGTATATGTGTGTCTCATCAAATGTGACAGATTGGGGTGATTCTGTCAATAATTCATATTTGATATCAAATAGAACAAAGTTAAGAGGGAATTGCAAGGTAATATAATCCCCGTCCCCTTTAAACAGATAAAGTTGGACTAAAATTTATGTCTTCGACCAGGACACTTAACATTCAAAACCTGCCAGCACAGGGAGTGATAGCTGCGTGTTTGGAAGTAATATGGGAAGCAGGACAGAGGATAGCAATTGGCATCTTCAAAAGAAGTCCTGTGGGCCTCGCTTTTCAGAGGTGAGGAAGCAACCATGGATCTCATCAAATTCCACCGGAGTCCCAGGTGCTCAATACCTCTGAATTTCAAGCAGTTAAGTAGGGCATGCAAACTAGGATGCTGCAAGCTGACAACAGTTGAGGCTGATCCACTTGAAGGTGCTGCTAAGGCAGTTGCTGAGAAACTAAAGGCTGAAAAGGAAAATGCTGAAATCAGTTTTGTACATGCCAAAGACCCTTCAAGCATCTTTGGCTTCTTTGATGGAGTCTGAGATGATTTGATTAGTATAGAGAAACAGCAGTCAAGGAGGGTTTGTTTTTCATTTTTTAAAGCAGCTCTAAATGGTTGGAAGATGTGAAGACAAGAGTCTGTTTCTGCTCTGTCTGGGAGAGGAAGTCTCCCTGCTCTATGCCAAGAGTTTGCTCCATGATGAGTGATGGAAAGCAGGGACTCCTGCTGGGCTGTGCAGGCTCAGTGAAGCAGCTGTTCTTCAGAAAGGGGGCAGCTGAAATTTCACATGGGTGCTGTGCATGCAGTTTGGCCTCCAGAGCTTCACCAGGCATCTTTTTTCCTGCTACAATTGGTCTTTCTTCCACGGCCATCTGCCAAAAATCTCCTCTTATTGTTTTGATCCAATAAGACTGAGATGTGGTAAGGAACCCTTGAATGTTTCTGATAATCAGAAAGTTTTGTAATCCCCTGAAGACAGGCAAAAATGTAATTTTGCTGCAGTAGAAGCAGTAGCAAAAGTCCCTTTGAAATCTCATGTGTCTGCCCATGAGGAACTGTCTGATACTGCAAGTTTCTCCCTAATCTCCTGTGGGATCCTTCCGCTGTGTCTGCAATGTTCTGCATCTCATGATGCCCATCTTTTGTAGTTGGATAACACACCCTGAAAATGTTCTGCAATTTCCTGTGGAATTGTCTGTTGAGGAAGCCACACTATCATAAAAAGCACCTTGAGATTTTCAAAACTATAAAGTTCTTGGCTCCTGGACTTTTCCCAGCGCTCTGTTTTCCTCAGCCAGGCTTAGAACAGTTGCCCTTCCTCTCCAACCAAGGCACCCTCCCCTGGACCAGGACTGCTCTGCTGAGGCCTCTCAGGGGCTGATTTATGTGCTGACAAAAGCAACCACATGTAAGGAAGCAGTCTGTCTCCCAAGCTTTTCTGTGGGCTGAAGATTCCTGCTGCACAGATGCTGCTGAAGGAGACATTGTGTAATTCAACTGCAGGAGTCTCAGAGGGCTGGGAAAGCAAAAATCTGTCTGGGACAATCGAATGTGGTGCTGTGTGGCTGTGGAGATGAATCTTTGAGCCTTCATGCCTTTGAGTCTTGTTGATAAGACAGGGCAGTACAGGGGAAAGCACTTTGTGAAAAATAGGGTGGCTGCCTCCTCCTTCATTGGGTCTGACCCAAAATGAAGCACTCATCACCTGTAACGGATAAATTAACCCTGCTGCTCATGCAATATTCCCCTTGCTAAATGTGTTGCAGAGGTGACGAAGCCACGTGCTCCAGCAAGGCTGGTGTTGACTGAAAATTTTTCTCCTTTAAGGTGCAGAATGTGCAAGGGAAAGATGAAAACAAGGAGTGGTGGTAACCAATGCTCAGAGTGTCCAAGAATGTCTTGCTCATATGGGAAAATCAGAAACACCACCACCAGCCCCCTCAAATGTGGTCTCAAAGACCCCAGTCTATTTTAGAGAACACGCTCTGGACTCAGAATTGCAACTCAGTGCTCAGTCTGTGTCACCCTCATGGTGGATTTACTCAACAACTCACAGTTGATTTGGCCTGATTCTTCTTTCTTTTGCAGTTTTAGGTCAGCAGTCATCTGTACAAACTTTATAGGATTATCCTTATTAAAAACTTTGTTTGTTCTTGTTTCAATGAGAGTAAACCGTATATCAGCAGTAAAGCAAGATTTGGGTTTTTTGGTTCTTGTTTTGAAGTTGAGTCTGGTGGAAGCAACTACTTGCTGTTTTTCACAACACTTGTGCTTTTAGGACAAAAAATTAGAGTGAAATTGTGGGGAGAAGAGGATTATGCTTTGACTATAATGAGGAAAACAAACACTTCATTTTGAGTGACCTGGAATGGGGGGAAAAAAACAAAAGGAAAATTCTGGGTAAGGATTCTAGTCACCAGGTAACAGAAATGCCTGAAACCAGGCATTTACAGGCTTTTATGAAAGTGTTTTCTTTGTGTTACAGCATAGAAGAATAATGATTTGAAACACAGGAAGTTGCCATGGAACAGAATCATCACCCACTGACGAGCTTTATTGTCTCATAATGTGTCACCCTACCAAGAGTCACAGCAAATGGTCAAGATACTCTCTGTGGTGGCGGGCCAAGACCATAGCACTGCCTTGTGACTTACTCAAAAGGTGCAATAATAAACATCTCTTCTGCCTGTCATTTTCTATTTCACTGTGTTTACCCCAAAAAGAGGATAACTTTTCAGAAAAGAGTGAAAAGTTGCAAACAAGAACAAAAAAATATTTTCCCTGGGTAGAATATTCTGTTATATAACACTTTTTACTGTGTGCTGGAAGGGAAAAACACACTTGAAGAGCAAGATGAAAACAAAACTCTAAAGAAGTGAGTTTTGAATGTATCCTTAATGCAAACTGAGAAAACTGAAGTTAGAGGATGTAGATGACACACCAGTTGTGGCACTCTGCTTGCAGTTTTAAATGTCATGTGCTGTAGACACTTTTTTTGCTCCCCCAGTACACAGGAGAAACTCAATTCCTCTCTTCCCCCAGCCATCAGCCTGCAGCCTACGGTCAAAACACATTGTTCTGCTTTCCATTCTCACAGTTTTACTTATTCCAGACCAACTAAATAGACTCCTTTTCTTTGCAATCTGGAAATCCAAAAATCTCAGCCTAATCTTTCTGCTTCTGATGCCTTCCAAGTTTTGATGAGGTTGTTTTATCTCTTGCTGTTATTAAAGAGCAGGTCAATGCTGCTGCAGTTATTCTGTAGATTTTTGCCACTCTATGGATGTCAGGAATATTCTTTTTATCTTCTCTTTTGAATCCCCTGTTAATCATATCATGATGCACCTTCTTCAAATCTACAGTTTTATCGAATGGTGTTTTTAATCTTTGCAGAACTCCTAACTAGTCACGTCCATAAAGAAATGAAAAAAACCCCTGGTATTCACATCACCTGATGTGGTTGGTTTTTTGGGCTCTGCAAAGATTAAAAACAAAGTAAGACTTGAGACCATCCTGGAGGGAATATAGAGGTTGCTATTAATATGTTCTTCTTTTGAACAGAACTGATCTGAGAGTTTGGAAATAGAGGCAAAGTGACTGTTTAAAGGTTGAGGTTTTAGATGCACATG